AAAGATTTTATTTATTTATTTGAGAGAGAATGAGATAGAGAGAGAGAGAGGATGAGAGGGGGGAGGGTCAGAGGGAGAAGCAGACTCCCCGCCGAGCAAGGAGCCCGATGCGGGACTCGATCCTGGGACTCCAGGATCATGACCTGAGCCGAAGGCAGTCGCTTAACCAACTGAGCCACCCAGGTGCCCCACTTTTTCCATTCTATATAAACTTGGCTTTGCATAATATAACCTCTTAATCTGGCAATATGCAAGGAACCATAGGTCATAGCCTGTAAGTTTTCTAGCTAAGTTATATAACAAATATTTATGAGTACTTCTTCTGTGGAAGATGGTATACCAAGTTCTAGGAAGTACACAGAGCTGATCCCTGGCCTAAGGTAGCAGACATCTAATAGGGAGGATGAGAAATGAAAAGAATTATAAAATGTGTCAGAAAAGACACAGAGAGGCACTTTGTGATATTTTGTGAAAGGAGAGATCACTTCTGAAGGTGCCATGCAGATGTTTTTGAGCTCTCTTGACCACGGATAGGTAAGGTTTTAGTAGGCAGAGTTGAGGATAAAAGGATTTGAGGCAGCAGGTTTGAAACTAATGAGTAGGTTTCGGTTATGGCTGTGAGAAAAATTGTGAAAAGAACTGCTATCCTCCTCCCTAAAAATGATTAGGAAATGAACCAGGATGGTTCTTATCTTAGATTGTCTCAGGTAGTCGTCTCTGTCTTGAAGTAAAGATGATGAGAAACTTGAAACCAAAGTCATTTTTATTTCTTTAGATACTGAAGACAGCATGAATGATCATGAAGACACAAATGGCTCAAAAGAAAGTTTCAGAGAACAAGATATCTATCTTCCAATTGCAAATGTAGCAAGGATAATGAAAAATGCCATACCTCAAACGGGAAAGGTAATGCGGAGGAGACATTTTTCTAGGGGAGAGGGGAGCATAGACCCACATGAGTGTGCACTTCTGAATACGGTCAGCTATTACTGAGCAGCCATTCAGCCTCCCAGCAAGTCCAGCCGCTCTTTCAGTGCTACACACTTCGTTACTGAGCAGGACTCCATTTGCAGTTCCCATGTTCCCCTTCCCCACTTGAAGCAGATAAAATAGAATTAAGAATCTCCTTTAAAACAGGTGCATTATCAGAACTATCAGGTTTTTTGAGCATATGGAGTTGTGACTTCTATAATGTTGCAGCAAAATTGGGTCATTTTGGACTGATACGGGAAAAATCCTTACATTTGGAAGCAACTATTTTTATATAATCATAAATATTAATGTACATTTAAATTTAACTGGCATGATTTTTTTAAAGTAGTTCTGTCTTGAGACAGACAATCGTATAAACAGTTATTTATAACAACTTAAAAAAAACTCATCACTCTACTCATCACTTGGTCTGAATTAAAAGCCACATTTTTTATATTATTTTATATTGCATAATAAACTTTTTTAATTGTAGCTTATAAAGTGCTTACAAAAGTAATAAAGCTCACAAAGAAATATATTATTAAAATACAGAGCTAAGCCTAGAAGTTCCAATATGAGAGGTCCTCCTCATGTTTTCAGGGGAAATAAAGCACAACTGCTGATTGGTGTTTCTGTCGCTAGGCCTGCGCTGTCCAGTACCTCAGGCCACCGACCGCACACGGTTACTGAGCACTTGAAGTGTGGCGAGTCTGAATTAAGATGTGCTGTAAATGTAACACATACTTTAGATTGTGCAGGCTTAGTATGAAAAAAAGAATTAAAATACCTCAGTTTTAAAATGGATTCTCTGTTTAAATGGTAATATTTTGGATTTATTGGGCTGAATAAAATATATTATGAAAATTAATTTCACCTTTTTTTAAACATAGCTACTAGAATATCTAAAGTTATGCGTACAGCTAGCATGATATAATCTTGCCTGCAGCTCTTGTTTACTGTTCTTCAGGATGTAAAAGAGGCCTGGAGGTGAAAGACAGTGTGTGTCAGCAAGGATTTGTGTTGTTCTGTTAGAAGTGGCTTTGGAATTGCATGCTTTAATCCATTAGAGTTTCACTTTGAAAGTGAAGTTTGAAAGACACTTTGAAAGAGTTTCACACCCTTAAAAGAAGAATTGCTTTTAAAATGAAGTGGCAGGTGTGTGCTGCTTTTTAATAAACTCAAAACCTGTACCTGACACTTGGTATCTTCAGTAATAAAAATGTCACCAGATGTCATTATTTCATTCCCTTGTAAGCCTTACATGAATTCAGTGTTTTGTCTTTTTAAAATTTTCTGGTGTCCTCATTTGTGGAAATGCTAGGGCAGAGGAGTGATACCTGAGTCTAGCCCACAGTATACTACATACACCATGGGTCTTGATTTTCTTGGGGCACTTGGTTAGTAAGATTTCATCTTTATGGGATGGTAGGGACATCCAGTGATTGCCTTTTTACCTAAATTATACCTGTTTTCTGTGAATAGTTGTCAGGGCTTCTCTTACTGATACTCAAGTTTTTATTCTCAATTCTCAAGGGCTGGAATTTTGATAGCACACATTGTGTCAGTGTAATTAGCAATATTATTTCAAAGATGAAATGTTAACAGCCGTAAACTGAAATTTGTATTCTGAATAGCTTTTATTTTTGTAGGTTGTTAGGAAGGGGATGGTTATATTCCCTGCAAATTTACCTGTGATTTTTCTCTTCAGATTGCAAAAGATGCCAAAGAATGTGTTCAAGAATGTGTAAGTGAGTTCATCAGCTTTATAACATCTGAAGCAAGTGAAAGATGCCATCAAGAGAAACGGAAGACAATCAACGGAGAAGATATTCTCTTTGCCATGTCGACCTTAGGCTTTGACAGTTATGTAGAACCTCTAAAATTATACCTTCAGAAATTCAGAGAGGTAAGTAAAATGCCTTCCATTATGCTTTTAAGGAACTAAGATATACTATTCACTTTAACTTTTTAAATGTATCATTCATCAGAAGAAGTATGTAATCACTTACATTACTGTATTCAAATAGTATGTCCTTTCTTTTTCCCTTTGTTACTAATGACATCATAGTTGTGTAGTGTAATGAGTGAGAGCCTGGACTCAGGATTCCAGCCACCTGAGGCTGAGTCCCAGCTCCACCACTGTGACCTCGGGCAGATTATTTAAATACGTTAGGCCTTGCTTTCCTGGTCTGTACAGTGAGGTTAGTAATAGTACCTACCTCCCAGGGTTATTGAGAGAACTAAGTAAAATAATCTATGTAGAGCCCTAGGCTCAGCATATAGTGAGCAGTCTGTAATGGTAACACATGCTGTGCTTATTATTAGTTTAAAAGAGGTAGCATCTCAAAGCTTGGGGCCTTCTAGGTAGAAAAAAGGGAATTCTAACTGTATCCCTTTCTTACTAAATTCTTCTGCATTTCCTTTTGGGTTTATCTTTGCCCATGGTATGAATTTTGTGGAAATAAACTGAGATCAGCATATTTATTTCCACACTCCAGCTTGGGTGTCAGATTCACATTGCTGTCAAAATACTTTCTTTAATGTTAGAATCCCACTGAATTAGTGTTATATGCATCATCAAATGGTTAAAGTAGGAAGAGAATTTGTAAATTCCTCACAGTACTTTTCCAAATTTTTTGCATCACAGAACCTTAGAGTGAACGGATGGAAACTTAAGAGCTCTTTGGTCCAAACTGTAATTTTGATTTAGGAATTTAAGACTTTAAACTTGCTGTTATAGTACTGCCCATTTGGCTAAGAGCTATATATATAGAGTTAAATGATAATTTGGATCATTTATAGTAGATTTATGAGCTGAATATTTATAATATTTTGCAGACTACTTCATCTGTAAGTAGATTTCTATTTTCCTTTTGATGTAGTGTGGAGTTAGAATAATTTTATTTTTATCCATAAATATTTTAGATTTTCTAGGTCATTACTAACACTGTCTTGTGATGATTACTGCTTATATAAAAAGTTAGCATTTTGAAGGGCCTCTTCATATGTAATTAACCAGAAGTGTAAATAAATACTCTGTGCAGTGTTTGTAATAATAGAAGCTCCTAATTTTAGGAAATAAGCATTCTCATCTAGAAAACAGTTTCTTTTGAATACCAGTGATTGCTTTTTTGATTTGTCCTTCCCTAGGCTATGAAAGGAGAGAAAGGAATCGGTGGAACAGTCACAGCTACAGACGGACTAAGTGAAGAACTTACAGAGGAGGCATTTAGTAAGCAGTGTTATGATACATTTATGCAACTACATTTGTTCTTCTAAGTCATGTAGTTTGTTAGCCGTTATCAATACTGAATGTAATGGTACTTTGGGAATATCAGCCCCGAGTATTTGGACATAGTACTATTTTGAATAGTTCTTATAAGTTCATGCCTTTATGTTTGAAGTTAGTGAGGGTAAGTGTAGAAATTTAAATTCTGCAGACATTATAATCTTTCACCCATAGTTCTGATTTCCATGGCCCCTAGTTTTTGGTTTAAGATTCACATGAGATAGGAATATTGAGAATTGTAGCTTGTAATATAAAATCTTGTGATTTAAATAAATTTGAACTGAAGGGTTTTTTAAAAAACTGAATAGGGGCGCCTGGCTGGCTCCATTTGAGGAGCGTGTGACTCTTGATCTCAGGGTTGTGAGTTTGAGCCCTACGTCAGGTGTAGAGATTACTTTAAAAATAAAAAGTCCTAAAAAAAAAAAAAAAGAATATTGTCATATTGGTGAAATGAAAGGTCTGTGGTGATTCTAGTTCTCATATAAAATTTATAGGTATATATTTTATATTTCTCAAAAATACATGCTGCTTAGTTAATGTAAGTGTTGCTCCTAGCTAAGCCTCATGATATAGGTCTGCTTATGAATTAGAACCCCATCCAGTCTGCAGATTTGTACACATGGGCAGTTAGCCCAAGTATATTTTAGAGAAATGAAGATTCAGAAAATTGAAAACTTCAATAGAAAAAATGTGCTTTTTATGGAGTTTTTTTCATGCTAAATTTGAGGGTTTATGATTTTGTCCAAGGTTACGTTGATTAGTGGCAGAATTGTAATGAGAATTAATGACACGACTTTAAGGTTCATACCCAGAGAGTAGATGCAATTCTTTTCCTGCTTTAACTTTTTTTTGTCTTCTAGCTAACCAGTTACCAGCTGGCTTAATAACTGCAGATGGTCAACAACAAAATGTTATGGTTTATACAACGTCATATCAACAGGTAAAATACAACCTTCTTTGTAGTTTAAATTATTATTATTATTATTATTTTTAAAGATTTTATTTATTTATTTATTTGAGAGAGAGAGTGAGAAACAGCATGAGAGGGGATAGGGTCAGAGGGAGAAGCAGGCTCCCCGCTGAGCTGGGAGCCCGATGCGGGACTTGATCCCGGGACTCCAGGATCATGACCTGAGCCGAAGGCAGTCGCTTAACCAACTGAGCCACCCAGGCGCCCTGTAGTTTAAATTATTTTAAAAATTGATTTTATCATTGATTTTTATCACAGGTAGTTAATTTCAGCATATTACAGTTGACCCTTGAACAACTTGGGTTTGAATTGCACTGGTCCAATTAATATGCAGATTTTTTATAGTTACTATAGATGTGGTTTTCTCATCCTTAAACATTTACTTTTCTCTAGCTAGTGTTGTTGTAAGAATACAGTATATAATATATATAACATACAAAATATGTGTTAATTGACTGTTTATGTTATTGGTAAGGCTTCTGGTCAACAGTAAGCTATTAAGTTTTTGGAGGGGTCAAAAGTTACATGAAGATTTTCAACTGTGCAGAGTTTGGCACCCCTAACCCCTGTGTTGTTCCAGATCAACTGTATTATTATTATTAAGGACCTGATAAAGAAGGTTGTTAAAAATTGCTTTCTCAAAATATATAATTGTGTATTCTCTTACTGATTAAAAATATGTACACACATATTCGTATTTGCGTAGATTTCTAGAAAGATGCATAAGAAATTATTAAAGTAGCTCCCTTGGGTAGACAGAATGGAAATTTGGGAGTGGGAAGTAGACTTATTTTTCATTGTCTATTGTTTTTACTCTTTGTTTATATGTATTTTTTTTTATAATACATGTTATTTTAAAAATATGTTTTTTCTTTAATTCTCAATTTAAATTTTCTGATCTTAGATTTCTGGTGTTCAACAAATTCAGTTTTCATGATCTGAAGAAATGGTGGCATGGGGAGTGGAGAGAAGCAAAAGAGTCTGTACGATTCCGGAAACAGAGACATTAGAAGGAAGTGACTGGGGAAAAGATGTCTCTTTGTATATTAAATAGCTGTAATGTAGCTTCCTGATGCTTGACTAATTGAGGTGTTAATTGAGAATCTTTTTCATGAATGATTTTAAAGAAAAATTTGGATTTTAAAGGTATTAAAATATTTTTGTTTTGTACGAGAGTTTGTTGCTCTGTATGACTCCTGTATGCATTGTATATTGCAATTTATTACTGTCAGAGATTTGTAGACAGTTTCTTATTTTCATATTGAATCATGTTACTTTTGTAATTCAAGTAAGCAGCTGGGTTAATTCATGATGTTTGCCCTTTTAATAAAATACAAGGGTAGAGTTCATTTTGAATGCAAGTTGCCTTTATTATAAATTTGAGTTTGTCTTGGTTATTATAATATCTTGCATGGTAACCTAGCTAGATTTTTAGCATTTGCCATATTTATTAAAATTAATTTTTTGTAAAACATTCATAGCTTAAGCAGCACCATTTTTTAAAAATGTAATTGAAAAATTAAGTGTGAATGCAGAAGCAAACATTGTCTGCCCTATTAAACCTGGTGCCCATTAACAGTGTTTACACTGTTCATTGTGCCTGTTATAAGATAGTTTTAGTTTATTGGAGCTTTTGTTAAGACCAGATTTGTTTCTGAGTTACATTATTATGAGTGTTGGAATTCATTTAAGTTTAATGTAGTCCTAGTGCTCTTGAAATGGTGCCCTTTTCATTTTTATATGATTTTTCCAAAGCATATCTTCAAATATTATAGTATCCTCTTCCAGAAGAGGAGTTTTATAGTCTGATGGTAAATGTCCTCGTCTTACCTTTTTAATTGAAGTGTCAAGTTTCCTAATTATACTATGGGAACCAAGGAATGTCAGACATCATTGTGTGTATACAGACCTTTCTCTGCATGGGTGAGTGAATGCAGTGGAGAAGAGAGTGAGTGCTGCGAATGGTGTGAAACAGAAGCCCCAACTTCTAGTGGCTGTCTTGATCTTTGCAATAAACTAAACTTAGATAATGTAACTTTGTATAATTTAGGAGTATGTACTTGGGTTGTTCCTTTTTTAAAGTGAGGATTTGTATTTTCTCATCTGTTCTTTTTGGTAATTAACCTGAGTGTTTTGGGTTTTTTTAATATCAGCAATTGCTATTGTATGGTTTGCCTAAAAGACAATTTAAATGTCATCTTGGAAGGACACTCAAATTTATAAAATAGAAGCAATTTCGTAGATAACAGGCTGAACAGAAATATTTTACCTTGCCAGATGGAGATTTGGGGGGCATATCTGGGCTAATCTGAGGTTAGTAACTCCCTCACTACCTTCCCATTTAAAAAATAATCTTCATTACAGAAAATTCAAATAGGCAAAAAAAGGGGGGTTGTTAAGCAAAATCAACTATCATCCTACTATGCTGAAATAACCAATGTTAATATTTTGGTAATATTTAATCATTTGTCCTTTTACTTTGCTAAATATGTATATTTTTATAAAAATGGGCTCATACTTGCATACTGTTTTGTAACCTGCTTTTTTCACTTAATAATATATTGTAAACATCTTTCCCAGGTCATTACATAGTCTTTTATTTTTATTCATTTATTATTCTGTTGTATGGCTGAACCATAATTTATTTAATTCTCTATTGGACATTTTGACTATATGCATCTTTTCACAGTTATAAACAACACTTCACTGAAATCTTGTGTACATCCATGACTGTTTTCTTAAAATAAATTCTTAGAAGTAAAATTACTAGGTTAACAGATACACAAAATTTTAAGGCTTTCCATATTTCCATGTTAGTGTATTTCCAAAATAGTTTCCATTTGATCCGGGCAGTATATCAGTATATAACTGATAAAAGCACTTGGTCTTTGTTTATCAGGTTCTTTAAAATTAAAGATTGGGTTATGTTTAATTATCAAGATAAGGAATTAGACACCCTGAAGATTTAATCAATATAAACCAAAACAAATGTCTGAATTTAGTATTGTTGGTAGTACTAAAACTTTAGGTGAAATCAGGTCAACTTTGGGTTATTTGGCTTTTCTCCTCCGAAAGAACACTCGCCTTCTGCATGTGTCAGGTACATACTCTCCTTTTGTGCATGTGGGAGGGAGTCCCGGCTTCTCACGTGGCCTGTGTTGCATTTCACTGAATGTCGTGTTTTCTTCCCCTGGAACTTCTTAAGTATATAAGCTCCTACATTAACCTAAAAGTGTTTTCTTTATAACTTTGTAGATATTGCTTTTATGAGTATTTGAGAGAGAAATGGGCTTCAGTGACTAAGTCAGAAACAGGACTTGAATAGCTTGTCTCTCCCCTCACTGCCTCGTAACAGAGATGCTTTAGTCCAGAGAGAATTATTTTTTTAATGCTACCTTCCAATGTCATATACTTGGGTATGATGATGTATTAAGCTGTTTGTATTTCTTTTCCTCCTACAGTGTAATATCTATACGGTATTTTCCTTTCCTCAAAAATATGTCTATTGCCTGTTTTCTAGATTACCTGAGTGGGTTAAAAGAATACCAGTTACCTTTAATAACACGAACTGACCACAGTTATGAGGGCCAACTAAAAGGATCTCTGCAGCAGTACCAACTAAGCGTGATAAATGAAAAAAATAGTTTCTGCCATTTGCCAAGAATAAAATCTTGTGTACAAGATTTTTAAAATCTATATATTTTCTCTTTAGGGAAAGTTATTTTATCAACAGTCCAAAACAAGATAATATTTGTTGCTTTATGTGATAAAATACATTTCTGAATCATTCAAATGATATCAGGTGAGATCTATGCCAAAAACTAGGCTATCCTAAATGTGTATTTTTGGTTTCTCTGAATTAGACAACTTATATATGTTTATGTAATGATTTATATATATTAGCCTTAAACTCATATAAAGTCATAGTGTATTCATGAGTAAAAAATAGAACAATCTCAACTAATTTTATTAACGAACTATACTATATTGTCTGAAAAATATTCAGGTTTAATTTATGGTTTCTTTTAGAGCTGGAAATGTTACTTTGCTAACTTCCCCAAGTTCTGCTTCCTTTTGCTTGTTACGCTCCAGTCACCCTGGTCTCTTGGCTCCTTGTGCCATGTTCTTTGCCCCCTCTACCCACGTATACTTCCCTCTGCCTAGAACATTCTTTCTCTTCCTGGGCCTAGTTAAGTCTCGCTCATCCTTCAGGTTTTAGTTTAAGCTTCATCAGGAAAGCCTTTAAAACTTTTGTTACACCTTCATACTAATTACCAAATACAGAAAATATCAGCACCCAAAACTGAGTAGGTTTGTACACAGTGTTTGCTGGCTGCCACAGCCCCTTAGACATTTCTTTGAACAAGACTACATTTCTTTTTATACCTGATCTTAGAGGATTTTAAAACCATAAGGCAGAATTTCTTCAAATCATGGGCCACAGATGGCATTGGGATGGATGCTTTTCTCTGGCTTCTGGCCATCACTTTTCAAGATGTAAACTTGCCTAGTAACAGTTACAGCTGTCTCTGACTTACTCCAGAGACTTCCTTCTGCACTCCCTAGTAAATAGATACCTATGCAAGGCACCTTACTGTAAACACTCCTTTGCCAAGGTTAATTGGCAGCAAACGTGCCAAATAAAGTCAGTAAATATGTACTGGCTTTGTCTGTAGAAACCCAATGGCCATGTATTAGTTTTAGGGGTGGATAGAAGTTGATAGGTAATTCCTTCATCTTCCGCAACAATATCTAAGATTAAAATATTCTGACACTGCAGCATAAACATTGCCTCTTTCAGGTATCATTTGGATCTCCCTTGAGCGTCCTCTAAAAGCGAACAGTAAGTCTTTCTTCTGTACCTGTTTTCCAGGGCTCAATTTCAGAGTACATCTGAATGAAAGAGATTGCAGACCCTTAAGCGCCAGGTACTTGGTTGAAAGCACGCTGCTAGGCAAAGACAAGCCACGGCAGACAGTGCCTTACAGCCAGGGCAGCTATGCCAAGAAGGCCTATTCATGCATCTATAATGCCCAGTGTTCGGTGTGCAAGAAACCAAGACCAAATCCTTTTATCAGACCAAAGCAAACACTAATCAAAGAATGCAAAGGAGGGCGCCTGGGTGGCTCAGTTGGTTAAGCGACTGCCTTCGGCTCAGGTCATGATCCTGGAGTCCCTGGATCGAGTCCCGCATCGGGCTCCCTGCTC